TACGACCAATGTAGGGGCATTAATAATTAGAATAGGGTTTTTGGGTTTCCTTTAAAGGGTCCTTAACAGGGTTCTATAAGGGCTACTATAAAGGTTTAGGGTTTAGGGGCCTTGATGATTAGAATAGGGTTTGGGGTTCCTTTAGAGTATAATTATAACAAGGAACCACCAAAATAGTATAGGCATAGGTAATTCACCACTACCACCATCATCATTGTTGATGCTTCCACTGCCGGAGCAGCTTCAGCTGCTGCTGCTGCTGCTGCTGCTATCGCTACTGTCACATAAAGAGGATTGTGCTTGTTGCTCACAAAGTAGATATGTTTTTCTTCTGTTCTTAGCCTTCTTAGTCTCACCTGTCCACTGCAAGACCGGCTAGGTCCACAGATCGCCCCCAAAACCCTACACCTAAACCTCAAAACTGAGCCTTCAGGCGTGGTCCGCGCCTGGAACCCTCTCGACGGGAAGGCTGTCGCCAGCCACGTCGCTTCCTCAGAGTGCGGTGCCTGCTTTGGCCGCTAGGCTTTATGCTTTGGGGGTTTCTTTTCGGGTGTGATGTTGTACCAGGGCCAGGCACAGAGAAAAGTTGAGTCGTCTCGGAACCAGTGGAAAGAACAAGCTCCAAGGCAGGTTGAGTTGACAGGTTTGCAGTTTCTTATGCTCCGCAAAGCTGGAAAGAAACTGAGAGCATGCATGGCAACGCTGATTGAAGCAGCCAGCTGAATCAGTCTACCAGGCAGTAGCAGTATGCACCAGTATTAAGAATGACATAAAGGGCCATCCGGGTGTGAGCGCCCAGGACTCTCCGCACGCAGCCAAAGGTGAGCTGCGCCAAATCCATTGCCGGGTGCTATGTGCGAAGGGCTGTGCCGGAACCGGGTAATATAGAAGGCTGAATAGTCACTAGTAAGTCGTGCAGCAATTTATTTGCACACAAGTTGCTTTGTTCGTTCTTGCACCATTCTCCGAGGATACATATGTCGTCCTTTGTTTAGCCGATCGTCGATAGGCCTTTGCCCGCATCACCCCGAAATCCTGCTCTAGTTGTTCGAGGCCCCTGTATGCCTTATGTTCAGGGTACTGCGCTGCCACCCGAGGGCCCTAAGCTCAAGCCCCTAACTCCTAGCTGGTCTTAAGGAGGCCCCTTAAAAGGGACCCTTCTTAACCTACTTGTGGCTCTCTCGAAAAAGGCCTTATTGAGAGGGTCGATATCCCCGAGGGCCCTTTAACCCTAACTCCCACTAAACGTTCAACCCTAAACCCCAACTTGAAAGCTCCTGAACCATGAACCCTTCCCTTCTGACGGTTTAGGAAGGCTTAGGGTTTAGGGCTTGAGCCGAGTGGGCAGCAAGCAACTATTTTCAGGATGCTGTGAGGAGTGGGTCGGATATTGTCGAGTTCTGAGCCATCCAGCCCCTGCCCAGCAGCCTGCCCAGCCCACACTGAAGGAAGGAGACTTCCTCCTTGTCTCACATGAGGGGTTCCACAATAACTTCAAAACATCTTCCTCACCTAGGGGGTTACGTGGGCTCTGGAACTTTCCCAGACTCCCAGACCTGCACCGTAAGCCCTAAACAATAAGCCCTTTGCCTGAAAGCCCTCACCCACAAGTCTTAGACCTTATAACCATTTAATATAGAAGCCTGAATGATTACCAATAATGTTCCGCAGGGTTCCTTATTATCTATACCATAAAGGAGCCCCAAACCCTATTCCAACTATAAAGGCCCCTAAACCCTAAACCTTTATGGTAGCCCTTATAGAGCCCTTTTAAGGAGCCTTTCAAGGAACGCCCAAAACCCTATTCAAACTATTAAGGCCCTGACATTCGCCATCGGCAGACGTGGCCTTGCAAAGAGAGAGCGCATCATAAGACCAGGTCTGGACACCAGCGGTGGCACCAAGATGGTGACCGTCGGCGAGGACGGGTTTAGGGTTCAGGGCTTAGGGTTAAGGGTTTAGGGTTTTGGTTTAGGGTTTAGGGTTTAGGGTTTCGGGTTTAGGGTTATTTAGGGTTTAGTCTAGGACATTTTCAGGTGGGTAGTTACCGTTATAGGAGACTTATAGAAGGTCTATATACCTTATGGAAGCCTTGTAGAAGCCCTATATACCCTAAACTCCCCACGTGCAGTTTCCTTCAATTTAGGGCCCCGGTCTTGGACCTCGTGTCTCTACCAGGTGTGCTAGTATATTTTCATGCTGATTATGGTCGTCAGATTGATAACCCGGCGATAGTGATCGCTAAATCAGGCTTCGAACTATTGCGGTGAAGTTTTCGAAATTCAGTGTTTTGCTTCCAGGTTCCAGGGTTTGGGCGGGTTCCCTACAGAAAATGAGCTTTCATAAACAAGAGACAAGGGACCCTAATCCAACGTAGAAGAACCGCAATGATGAGTACAGCAGAGATTATACACTCTTGGCAAGTCCGCCCTAAACCCTACACGGATCCATGCGAGACGGAACAGGGACGTTCAAAACAAAACCGTAAAGCCTAAACCCTAAACCCTAAACAAACAAACTATAAACCGTGAGCCTGAAGCCCGAAACCCTGAGCCTCAAACCTGAGCCGACTCCACCTTTCTGGATCAGCGGAGAGGTTATCGCAACAAGGTAGTGCAGGGGGTGTGAAATAAGTGGAAAAGGGTTTAGGGTTATCATATACAGAACCCTAAACCCTAAACCCTAAACCCTAAACTGAATACATCTAAAAAGGAACCCGAAGGAACAAGATAATATTGGTAGTTATTCTGCAGTACGGCATCGGAATCTCGAACCTCTAGGACTGCAAGGCTTCGAGCCCCAAAAAGGGGTTTAGGGTTTTCTCAGGATTGGGTTTGGGGTTTAGGGGTTTAGGGGTTTAAGGTTTAGGGTTTTAGAGATTCAAGGGTTTGGGGTGTAGAGGTTAGTGGTTGAGGGTTTGGGGGAGGGCTGTAGGCTTTCGGGTTGGGGACCTAGTACGGTTTTGGGCTCATGGTTGGATCAGCATGTCCTGTGTACCGTTCGACAGGGTGGTGTGGTGTGCGCCTTTACTCTACGCGCCATTTCAACCCAATCACGTGTGTTTCCATGTGAGCCGCTGTTCTCTTCCAGCGGTTTCGGAGACTCAGACCAGCACCAGAGCAGTGGCGCAAAGTATTCGTATAGTGCACCATAAGATGCTGCAGCAGAGGGTCGCAATGATCAGGCAGATTATCCTAAACCAAACCAAAGGGCCTCAAGCTTAAAGCCCTGACCCTCAAACCCTGGACAGAAAGCTCCTGGTACCACTAGATGTATAGCTGATGGCAGCAAGAACCTTCTAACACCCTCGCACCAGGACATGAACCTCATGATCTGGACGCTGCCGGAGTTTGAAGTCAGCAGCCACATCATGGGCCACTGCCCTGGGTGCCTTTTGGGCGTTGTAGGGTTGAGGGTTGAGGGTGGGTTTAGGGTTTAGGGCCTAATGGAGGGTGGGGTGTCCTTTAAATCAAACCTTTGATCGCAGATTTCCCGAGCTATTTTGGCCTTTCTAGCGTGTGCACTGAACTCCTCCGGAAAAAGACCCGCTTTGCTACCTTGTGAATCATGGGCGGTGGCGCTTCCAAGACCTCCGGTGCTGTTTCCGCGCCGTCGCCTGCAGGACCTCCAGCCAAGGGGCTGACGCCTCAGAAGAAAGCCGCCAGCCCCAGCGTCGCCATTATCTACTATTCCACCTACGGCCACATCAAAGCCCTCGCCGATGAGATCAAGGCAGGTTTGGAAGCGGCCGGGGTGAACGTCGACCTCTTCCAAGTGCCTGAGACGCTTCCAGCAGAGGTGCTGAAGGCGATGTCAGCACCCGGAAAGCCCGAGGACGTGATGACGTTGGACTACGACTTCCTCAAGGAGCTTCCTAACTATGATGGTTTCATGTTTGGCATGCCCACGCGTTTCGGCATGATGGCAGGGCAGATGAAGACGTTTTTCGACAGCACCGGACAGCTGTGGGCGTCTGGGGCATTGGCCGGCAAATTGGCCGCCACCTTCGTCAGCACTGGCACCCAGCAAGGTGGACAGGAAACGACCCACTTCACTGCCGTCACACAGCTGGTGCACCATGGCATGGCCTACGTGCCTTTGGGATATCAGGCGGGTGGCGAGGGCCAGTTTGATCTCAGCGAGATCCACGGCGGCTCGCCCTGGGGTGCCAGCACCCTTGCTGGTGGAGATGGCAGCCGGCAACCTAGTGCCAAGGAGCTGGCAATTGCCAACAAGCAAGGCCAAGTATTTGGAGCTACAGTGGCCAAGGCGGCGGCAGCGAAGATCGCCGACCGTGAGCTGAAGGTTTGCATCGTATACTACAGCCTCTATGGTCACGTCAAGAAGCTTGCTGACGAGATTGCTGGGTCCATGCGCGAGGAGGGAGTCACAGTCGACCTCTTCCAAGCTCCCGAGCTTCTCGGCCCCGAGGTCCTCGAGAAGATGGGTGCACCCCCGAAGCCCGAGGATCCTGTAATGGATTACGCAGCAGTGTCGAAGCTCCCGGAGTACGATGGCGTCATGTTCGGGCTGCCAACGCGTTTTGGTAGTGCATCTGCGCAGATGAAGTCGTTCTTTGACAGTACCGGTGGTCTGTGGCAGTCTGGTGCATTGGCCGGAAAGCTGGCCGCCAGCTTCGTAAGCACCGGCACCTTGAACGGTGGACAAGAGTCCACGCACATGACCACCCTGACTAACATGGTGCACCACGGCATGATTTACGTGCCTCTGGG